CTCCTCTGCCAATCAGCATAAACAATGGCTTGATCACAGGATCTGCTGGATAAGGGGAGTTGAATATCCATAGGAGTGGTTTTTGTTTTGTCTTGTTTTGTTCTTCCTGTTTATGCCACTAGTTATTATGCTCTTGGCTCTACAATCTGTAAAGCTTCCTAGCAAACCTAAACCCCAGTCCTATCAAAGGAATGACAAAACCCCGGTGCGTCTGTAAAGTCCATTTGGTTATAGGATGCTTGTCCCTGGTCTTTGATGTGATCTCTTGCTACAGAAAGTTTGGGGGGAGCCGTCAAAAGGCTGAGCAGGCTTTGGTAGTGCTGTTTGTTTGTTTGTTGGTTTTTTGTTTTTGTTTTTTTGGTAGCACTGAAGTTTGCCCTGAACTATATCTCTGTCCTTTTTCTTATTTGTTACTTTGAGATAGGGTCTCACTAGGTCACTAAGTTGTTCAGGCTGGGCTTGAACTGTCTGATCTTCCTGTCTCAGCCTCCCAGAGTGCTGGCATTACAGGTGTGTCACCATGCCTGGATTTGGTTGGATTTTGTTTTGTTCTTTATAGAAAGCAAAGTTCTTGGCATAGAGTTTTATTTGGAGTCATCCTAAGAGGAACACATCCCTCCTGTGGTTCAGAAAAACGAATGTTTTAGCCAAGCATTAGCCCTTTCATGATTCTGCAGACAAACCATGAGAAACCGCTTAGAATTATTATTCTTTGTTTTCCTTTCCATGAGTACATCACGTATCACTGCCAAATGCTGGGTGAATCTGCACTGATCAAAGGGAGCTCTATTGCCTGTGAACAAGTTGTCCTTGTACCATCCTGACTGGCACTTGCCTATAACTTCTTTATCTCACATCTCAGCAAACACTGTATGATTTCTTCAATAGAACTGGCTGTGGATAACATCATTTTGCTGGCTATTTATCATACAATCTGTAATTGAATTACCTATTGCAGTAATGGGATTTGCTCTCGAATGCACATAAAAATGCAACATAAAATAAGATTGTTGCAGCGTCTGCGTCCTCATTCTGCATGGTAGCTTAGCCAACTCCACCGAACTACGGTGACAAATAATGAATGAACAATGTGGGAAACGAATGATTCATGGGTGCACAACCAAACATAAAAGAAATTCATCCTCTTGCAAATGTATTCTTTTTCAACGTAGTTTATTTTTTCAGTGTTCATCAGAAAGGCAACCGTAGTGCCTGTGGAGAAAGTAAAAATGGAAGTAATTTTACTTCACCATATGCAGCACTAAGCACACTGGCCGTACATTTCACAGCTTAGGAGAGAGAAACAGAATATGCTCCTCTTTGGTCTTGTCAAACAACTATTAATCCTAGAAGAAGAAGGAGGAGGAAGAGAAGGAAAGATGACCCCAATTCCTTTAGGAAAATGTGGTTTTCTTGAACCTACTGTTCCACTAATTCTACTTTAAATGCCAGGCCCAAGGTGAAATACAAAGGGTCTCTGAAGTTGCCCTGCTTCAAAATATCCTGTGGAATGGACAGCCAGGTTTCCGGAGCACTACACCCTTGTAGATGGCAAAGATCGTGTCAATATCCATACCTTAAAATAAAGTTCTAATGAGCCAGTATCTTCCCTAGTATCAAGTTTGTTTGTTTGTTTTGATTTGCTCTGTTTGGCTTAAGCTCTGAAAAAAACCAATTTGGAGCTGGTTCACCATACATAGCCTCTACTCACTTCAATCTTTTTTCTTCCTTTCTTGCTATCACAAATTGATTTTATGCATCTGGTTCACCAGTGACTGGACAGTTCATCAGTAAAATAAATGACACATCAAGTATTACAAAGGCTGCTGTTTCAAAGAGCTGCCCATCACCTGTTGAACTGAACTCCCGTGACGTCACCAGCCCACAGCCTGCCTGCCTCTTGGAGCAAGACAGTGATAAAAACCAGTCATTCCAACCAGGCTTCTCCATGTCAATTCAGAAAGGCTGCTGGGCACACATCTGAAAATGACTATTTTGTCCACAGCATTGCTCAAAAGAGCATAAGCAACTTAAAATATTTATATGCACTCAATTCAGGATCCATAAAAAATAGTTAACTTTATAAAAATTGGCAAACAGATACAGGTGAATAGAATCATACAAGGTCCCCTGTAAGACACTTTATATTTTGTTGCAACTGAATTTGCTAGACATCGTAACTTACATTTTAAATATTATTGAATGCTAAACATAAAGACTCTTCACCTTAGTATTATAATTATATCTTAAGCAATTTGTCTAGGTAACTATAGCAACAATTTCAGAAACATTTTAAATACAAATTTGGTATAATTTTAGCATCAAGAGTTACAGAGAATTTAACACTGACTGTAAGGATGCTTTTCTTAAATAGTTTTACATACACAATTGTAATGAGATTACTTCAGTGGGGTTTATTAAAAATTATTAATTCGTTCTGTCTTGCACACCATATGATTTGTAATCCAAACCCTCTTCCTCAGAATCCTTGTGGGCTCTGGAGCTCATGACTGCTTGTTTACCTAACAGGACGTCTTTATATCTGGCTGGGCATTTATCGAGCTCCAGCTCTTCCCACCTACCTCTCCTTGTATCATGAGCAAAGCCTTAATTGCAATGTCTTTAAGACCCCAAAGAGAAAACCTAGAACCATTAAAAATAATCACCGAGTAAATTAAAACTTCATACCGGTTCCAATAAGCCATTCTCTTTGACATCAGGATTACCTCTGGCACGGTTCCCAAGGAGATGGCATCTATTTGGGGGAACACACAAGTCTGTTGGTTTTAACATTCACCCTCCCCAACAAGAGGTTAAAGAGAATCTGAGAAAAACGCACACAGCAAACCCATGGATCGGGATTCACAAGGCCCATAAGCTGCTAAAACTTCTGGAAAAGCTCGAAAGAATGTGCTTCTCCTCGTCTTAGTCTCCAGTCAGTAAGTTTTAACAGCCTCTGCACTGTAATTGTCTGTTTCTCTCTCTCCAGACAGTGACGTCCTTTGAAAGGGAAACAGCAGCGAAGAAGATAGGTTTGTTTTTACCAAATCCTGAACATCTCACAAACTTCCTTTGGACAGAGACAAGCTTCCCACCCAAGAGACCAAAGTCTTAGCTCACAGCAGGGATCTTGCAGCTGTTTGCCATTAAAACCACCAAACAAGTTACTGCAATTCATAAAACGCACAAAATGATGAGCAGCCTCTGTCTCCTTCGGGTTAGGACCAGTACGCGCTGGCTAAAAACGTCTTAAGTGCAGTGTGTCAACTCCACAGTTCATGATTAGACAAGGTGACTACAACAAACTACATCAGTTAGGAGCTGGGGCGTTAAGAGCTTTTACCAGAAAGGAGCTTGAGGGGAAAACAGTGGGACCAGCCACATTTAGGACTCCAGAAACTGGGCTGTGTGTTGGGGGAGGGGTGTCACTGGTTCGTCCATAAACAGGGGCGCGGGATAAGAAAAGCAGTCACAGATAACTGGAGGTATATGCTGTCCTGGCAGGGATCCCCATAACAGGCATCCCTCACCTCTCACACAAAAAGTTCCCTTCATTAGCAACCAGCTGAATCCTGAGTATATGGTTTTAAACAATCATCCCTATTAAAGATTTTGTGCGGGTTTTTTTTTCTTTCTGGGTCTCTTTATGAAGGACTCCGGGGGGGGGGGGGGAGACTGACTCCCTAATCAATAGCAAACACTTCCCCTCTGCCCAAACTCAACATAAAGACAGACCTCTTCCCACAACTGTTTTTCTTAAAAAACAATCATTTGCAATTCTGGGTCTGTTTCTAATATCGTTCTGAGGAGCCGAACTTCACGCGTGCATGGAAGGTAACTGTGTTTACTTACTGCCGATTTTTTCCTGCACAAACGCAGCAATCTCGGTGACCGTCAGGTGTGCAGAGAGGGCGTCTGCAAGGCACCTTTGTCTCTGAAAAGCTCTTTCCAGCTACAAGACTCGAGTCCGGCTCTCCAGGCCCTTCCTCTTCAGCAAGGCCAGGCGGGCTCCCCAGCGAGCACCCCGCCCGCCTCCTGGGCCCCCGCGCCCGCGCCGACCCCCGCGCCCCGCGCGTCCTCGCGCCCACTCCGCGCGCACTCTCTCAGCGCCCCCTGCCGGGCGTCCCCGGGACGCCGCGGGCGCAGCAAAGTTAAAACAACTCCGGCAGCCGCCGCAGCCAGGTACAAAGCGACCCCTGCGCCGGGGAGATGGGCGCGCTTCCCGCCAAAGCCCGCGCACTGGGATTCTGTCCACGCTGGGCCCCGCACGGCGCGCCGCTGGGGCAGGAGCCACCCCGGGGATCGCTCGCTGCTGGACCACAGTGTCCCACGGATTTTGGAGAGAACACGTTCCGCGGAGCCTGGATCTTCCCCCGATCCCAAAATCCTAACTAGAGCAGGGGATGTGAGATACGCGGAGCGGTCCGGAGGCGCCAGCGGAAAGGGGGCTCCCTCGGCCGAGGCCACCGGCAGGCGCCTCGCGGGTCCCACATCCCCGCCTAGGTCTCTCTTACTGACCCGAGCGCTCGGCGGAGTTGCGCCCAAGTCCCGGCGCCTCCCGATTTATCGCTGCAAGGCCCTGTGACGAGGGCAGGCAGACCTACCCAAGCCAGCTCCGATGCGGGACTGCGCCGCCCGGCCGCGGGTCTCCAGCGCCCGGGTCCCCCGAAGCGAGCCGGCCCCGCGCCGACCCCCAGCGCACCGCCCGGCGCGTCGGGCAGGGTCCGGTGTCTCCCGCGCCCGGCAGGTCGGGCTCTCGCTCTCTATTCTGCACGCTCACCCCTCAGCGAAAGCTAGAGCGCAAACTTCCAGCTCAACTGCGGGAGCCCCCGCACTGACGGGGGTCCTAATTGGTGCGCACAGCCACCAGGCTGTCCCTGCTCAGGTGCGCACGGCATGGCGACCTCCCCGACAGCGACGCCACCCCCCCAGCCGCTGCCGGCCGCCACAGGCGCGCGTCTCCCGCCACGGCCACGCGGGGACGGGCACAGCTCGCTCACCAGGTGCGGGGCGCGCTCCTCGTGTCAGGCATCCAGCGCGCAGCGGCCTGGAGGATCCCCTTTAGCGCCTCTCTAGGGATGTCGAGGCAGCGACCACCACTTCTCCCCGCAGCTTCCTGGGGCAGCTTCCCCCGCTCGCCGCGCGCCGAGCTGGGGACCTGCTCGAGTCCCCGCACGCACGTAGGGTGGACAGTTTCCCACCTAGCAAGAGTGACGGACGAGGTGGCAAAGTTGGGCGCCCCGGCCAGATCTGTGGGGGACACAGGCGAGCGCCCCACGCTGGAGCCAGGGAGGCTGCGGGGTCGAGGCCGCGGTCGGTCGACAGGGGCTGCAGAGCCCACGCGCGGCGAGAGGGCAACGCGAGCGGGAGCAGTGAGAAAGGCAGCCGCCGGTGGCGCAGCCTTCCCGGCGAGTGCAGCTCGCGGGGCTCTGGGCGGGGAACGGGGGCGGAGAACGCGGGGCCGCATCGCCACGCCCCCGCTACGCCACGCCTCCTCCACTCGGGCGGGGTGAAACCAGAGCACCCGCCCAGTGCCGCCCCTCCTCCTCCCCTCCCCCGGCCCCGCCCCCTCTCGAGATGGGCCTCCGGCCCCGGGACCCCCGGGACCCTGCACCCCCCCCCCCACCGCGAGCCCAGTACTGGACTCCTGAGGGCAGCCTCTCCCGAGCGTCCACTTTCTGGGGCCCCCTTCTCGGCCGGCGGGGACTCCTGGGCTCCCCCGCCCGCTGTCCCGCGCTCTACGTGGCTGCTGGGGGGGCGGGAGGGGTGCGCTATAAAGGGCCGAGGCGGCGCGGGCCCAGACCCGAGACGTGGCGCGTCTGCCCAGCCAGCCAGGCTCCAGGTACGTGCGCGACCCCTGTCGCGCGCCGGGGAGGGCAGAAGTGGGGGGCGGCCGGGCCTGGGCCCCAGAGTTGGCCTGTCCTGGGGCGTCCTCCTGCGAGCCAGCAGCAGAGAAGCGATTCGGGAGTGGGGCTCAAGCCAGCTGGGCCAACTTAAGGGGCATTAAATGGGGGAGGGACGAGAACAAATCTGCGAGCGAGGCCCCCGAGGGGCCGTGCTGAGCTCAGCAGAGGACCCAGTAGGGACAGAAGGGAGCCGGCCACTTCTCGGGCAGATAATCCTTGCTGCGCAGTTGCAGGATCCTCAGGTCTTAAGGTTAGGGGGAAAAGTTTGTAACTGGAAAGCAACTTAGTTCCGGGGACTCCCGCGCTGTGATGCTTCCAGGCAGGGCTTGGGGGAGGGGGGTCCCCTCTTCCTGGCTTACAGTTGGAAGCAGGACCATGGGGCTTGGTGAAGTTAGAGTCAGACGTGCGTGCAGCCTGGTTCCGCGGAGGCCCCGCATGGCCATGAATGACCCCTCTCTTCGGATGGGTGGGGGAGCTTCTCTTTGCTTTTCTTCTCCCCTCCCCTCCAGCCTCAGGGAGTGGCTTTAAAATCCCCATACAAAAGGAAATGAAAAGCCGGTGCCCACATCCACCCACCCTCACCCCAGGGTCCAAGCAGTCCAGCTGGGGAGTGTCCTGCCCTCACGGGAAAACTGACCTCAGTTGTCTTCATTTTCTGTAGTTGTTTAAATAAAAGAATTAAGTGAAACCATTCTCAGGGCTTCCATGGAAAACCTTTCCATCTCAGACCCTCTTGTCTCCTCTCGGGGCACTGGAGGCCTCCCCGCCATCGATTTCCCTTTAAGACTTCGGGACCTGTTGGTGGCCCTGGCCTCTTAGGGACACTTCCTCCCTGAGTGGTGGGACAGCCTGCTTGCAGCTTGGCCTGAGGCCCAGCTATGGCTTCTGGACTTGGGTGAAAGCTAAAGTCTTCACCCTCCTGTCCTTGGGTGGCTGGGAGCTCCAGCTCCCTCCGAACTCCCCCTGCCTTCTCTTGCCACGTAGGACAGAGGCCTGGAACTCCCGGAAGAGGAGGCTGGCCGAGGTCTTGGCCTGCTCAGGGTGACCTGCCTTGGGATTGAGCACCAAGGTCCTTAAATAGACCCGTGCAGACCCTGCAGAGGGACAGAAGACACAGCGAGAACACAGATATACTTAGCTAATCCCAGCCTTTCCTCTGAGCTAGCCTAGTAAAACACGGTTAATACTTTTTAAAATATATATATATTTTTTAAACTCCTTGGCATGTAGAGTTAAGCATTAAAAGTAAAATGTCTATGCACCATAATACAGAAGGGTTGATAACATTTAAGTGTAGAAACTAATCTTGCTTGCATCTGGGAAGGAGGAGTTCAGTTTTGCTGTGTGCAGGCTCCACTGAATCGTCACCACTAAGTGTATTTTAGCGATGATGAATTATAAATAAATAGCTAATAAGCAAGGAAGGAAGCCAAATTAGAATTGCAAGTGCGCTGTAAAGGGAAATGGACCCCATGCTGAGGGTGCGAGGGGCCTTTAACCTGTGAGTTTTCGAAGTTTTCTGAGCTAGAGTCTGGGAGTTTCAACTCCTTTAGCAGGGATGCCAGCTGGAACGTGAACACTGATGGAAAAGGAAGGTGACAGATGTGAAGTCCCTCAGACCAGGCACCTATAGGTCCTCTAGACCTAAAGTTGAAGTACCCACAGGTATTCCCTTTTCTCCTTTGGAAACGCCTTCCTCGCTAAACCCTCATCCCATTGCAGAGTTAAAGGTGACCCTTTTTATACCAAGTTGTACTTTAGTTCTCTGCAAAAGTAGAACCTTGCTGTCCTTACTGGCTTCAGGGGAGCCACACACAGAGCATGCAGGAGAATGAGGGAGCCAGTGAAATGCGGGGTGAAAATGATGAATTCTGGGGCACTGATTCATGTGACTTGAAAAACGCCATCCATTTCCTGATTCACCTCCATTTCTGCTCAGAGGTAGGAAGCATCATTCAGGTCTCCGAACTCATGGCCACTGTGCCTTGTCTTTGCCTCCTCCCTAGAGCCTGCTTCTTGGCCCCACGGCTCAGCAGCTTTCCTGATGGAGCAGCAGAGAGGGCACCTAGAAGAGAGGAGATGCCACTGTGGACTGCAGGTGGCCTTCCAGGAGGCCTTGACATGACACGGTGGGCTCTAAGATGTGATAAGACTGTGTTAAAATCCTGGAAACCCTCAGCCTCTTGACATTTACACCTACCTTTCCGTCAATTTCCCTTCAAATGAGCTAGACAAGCACTGCAGTCACCACCCTTGAGCATCTCTTTTTGTCCCCTGGTTTCTTTCTTTTAAATTCATGACATTTAAAAGAAGTGAAGAAAAGGGCTAGATTGTCTGAACGATCTTACTAAGTTGTTTTTTCCTTACCGTGATTAAACACTGATATAAAGTAAAGTCAGGTGCTTCGGTGGGAATATCCCAAACAAGTATATTGTTCATACACTTCAAATTATTGGGCAGCCTCATGGCTGTGGCTATGGGTGACCCCTGATAGTCCCCAGATGAAGAATCCTGAAGTGGAGGAGGTTTCAAAGAACTGTCAACTCCAGTGCTGATATTTAGAACTGGGGTCTTTGACTCCAAGGGGTGTACCCTCTTTAACAAAAAGCCCACATTTCATTGACCAGGTTAGTTTTCTTTTTTCTTTTTCTTTTTTATGTTAAGATAAAACCAAAGAAAATAAAACAATAAAACCAATCAAAATAAACTAGCATAAGTAATACAGGACTTAAAATGTTACAAAATCAACAATAGTTACCATAATGCCTTTTGTTGTCTTCAAAATAGTTGCAGAGCAGAATGGAATAGAAATAATAAAACCAAAACAATGAATGCAAATAGCTGTTCATGCCATCAGATTTAACATAAACAAAACAAAAGATAATAAAACCCAACCCAACAAAACAGTGAAACTGATGTGGTTTCCAGGAGGGAATCACTGCCTGGTGGGCCCTGGTCCTCTAGCTCAGGTCTGCAATGGCCCTGACTCCTGGACAGAGGCTTAGGTCTGGCATTCCCCAGTCCAGCAGTGGCACTGGTTTCCAGGTGGGATCACCTCCTGGTGAGGCCTGCTTCTCTTCCCCCCCATAATCCTTGAATGACCAGTTTAGTTTTATTTTTAAAAGAGCAACTCCGAGACTTTTTGGAAAGAGATGGAATATAGAGCATGATACAAGACGCAGCTGTGTGGGAGTGGCCAGACCATGTGTCCTGCCAGGCAGCAAGATGACCAGCCTCTCCCGTCCCAGAGGAGCTCTTCGAACCTTTGAGCTCTCTGGAATCCATCCCACAAGTGAGACACACACACACACCCCACTTTTTGGCCACCTTCCAGGGAGCAACCTGGGGAAACCCAAGGTGCCTAGCAGTACAGAGCTGCAGGATTTAACAAGCAGACAGAAGTGAGTGTCATCTCTGACGGTTATTTTTTAAAGATTTTGGTGACTTCAGAATCCCAGGAAGGGCTTTCTAAAACTGTATTTTACGTCTGCCATATAGCCAGAAAACCATGATATTTTAGAACTTTGCGGGGTTGGATCTTACCTTTTTGGTTAGATTTCTAGATAGGTTCTCTTTCGACCCAGTCTCCTAAAGACATAATTGGTGCACTAGAACAGCCCAAATTGTGTGTATGAGAGAAGAAAGAAAATGCTAAGTTTGTAAGATTCTTGGAATCTCTACGGGAGATGCAGATGGCTTGTGGCACGAAGACGAAGCATCCATATGGTTTCCTGACTTATTTTCTGACATTGAGACATGTATGTATCTTGAATGTGTATAAGCAAAGATGGCTGTACTTTTTAAAACAATGTATTTATTAGTGAATGTCCTCTGCATTGCTCTGTCTTCCAGAATAGAGCTCTGTGGGGAAACAGATGTGTTTGGAAATACAGTTTCAAAAATAATGTTCATCCCGCGTAGATCCAGAGGCACAAATTGCTGTGCCTTTCTTTAGTTCATCATTTACTGGGGAGTTTCACACATAATGTCCTTGAATGCAATGCAAAATGTCTCTGAAAATTAAACCAATAGGCAGATGTCTCAGAAGCACAGCAAGAGGAGGAAGGGCCACCAGGGGTTCCATGGCCCCTGTGTCAAATCCTACTCTGGACCTTCTTTTCCGTTTCCATTCTTACTGCCTTAATCCAGCATGTCAGATTCTCTCACCCAAAATATCAGCGCCTCCCCTTTCAGGTCTCGCTGTCACCAGAGATTTTTACCCAAGCAGCACCATCTCCCCATCGCATGCACACAAAACACCTTTAATACAGGGACCTAATCTTATCTTAATTGTAAACTACCTGGCTTTAAAAAAAATTCTCTGGCAGCTAGATGAAGCCATGGAATTTAATTATGACCAGTAAGATGCAAGTTGAGAGCTGATGAAGGGCTTCAACTAATAAAGCAGAGGGGGCAGAAAACCCTCTTCTACCCTGCATCCTGACAGTAAGGTAACCGAGGCTATAAGCCCTGGGCCAAGGATGATTGTCCAG